TTTTCCTTATATGTTGATGATATTCAGTTATATTCCTTATGTCTCAGAAATCAAAAATACGTTTTTTTTTTAAACTCTTTTCAATCCAACCCAAATGCACAATGTAATAAGACAGACATGAACAAAACCCTTAAAAAAGTGGATTCAGGCTTCTGGACGGCTCTTCTTTGGTGCAACATTTTGTCTCTTCTCCAAGAAACCTCTTCAGTCTGAGGAGATCCAGGTAAACTCAGCTTTAGAAGCAGAGCCTTTGCATAGTGGATCAACCCGTTTATGATGACATCCAAACCGGTTGCTCTCATGCAAACGAGGACCAACAGTCTAACGTTTGATGGTTAGTGCTCTGATAACCACTGGTTGTTCCCAGAGGGCATTGGAATAGGGGGGCAGATGGACCTATCCAGATGAGTGGAAACCACTGATCTTGGCCTGATGATGTTGCTCTTCTCTGCTGGGTCATCGTTTCGGCCAGCGGCTGCTTAGTAGAACTTGTTCCAGTCCTGGAAATTCAAATCATAAACCATATTACTCACCAACACACAGAATGACTACTGCTCTAGGCCAGGGTTTTGGTTCCTCCTTTTTACCTGTTGACTGGCAGGGGGCCTCAGGTGAAAAGTAGGAACGAAAACTCTGACCCAGACCAGTCGTCATTCCTTATGTTGGTGAATTCCAGAGAAACTGAGGCCATTATTTTCTAAAAATTAAGCCCCAGTGACTTTAAAACCCAACATCAAATTACAGCAAAGACTGGTTCCCTTCGAATACAGTATCTGCTCCCCCAGTACCAGCAGAGGAACATTTGATATGCTGTTAAGTATCATTTAGTGCCTGGGAAAGAAACGTAATCTATAATAAAATCACAAGTTAACAAAATGCAATTTTCAAATTGCAGAGACGTAACATTTTTGCATTAAATTCAATGGGAGTAAGATAGTAACTTTATCACTACAGCCTTTAAGGTGGCACTAATGAGATTAAAGTTTTTTTTCTTTTTTTCACACAGAAGGGTACGCAGAGGGGAAGTTAGCAGCAGATGCATACATGCAAGTTAAATTAAGCCATTTCTGCTCAACAGCAACAGTAAAGTGCTGTGACAATGCAGGACTAGAAAGCTTTGAAGGTCATTGAAACCCTGGAGTGAAACATCTTCATGTGTGTGGGTAGCACAGAGGAACAGAGGAAGAAAAACGTTCCAGTTTTAGTGTTTGGTAGAATGATCCAGAAA